ACCCGAGAATCACAGCTGCCAAGTCACTGCAGCTCAGCAGCTCCTGTGTTGAGCGTCTGCCCCCTGGTGGTCAGTGCGTGTCATAGCTACCAGTTGGACGGTCGGACAGTCACTTAGGCTTTTTTATATATATGGATAGGGAAAATCTGTTACTCTTATAAAGTTGTAAAAGGCTTAAATGAGGTAATTCATTTAAAGCAATTAGAAAACTGCTTAGCATACATTAGGCCCTGTAAAAGATAGCTACTGTTTATTTTTCTCTTCTCTCCTTTCAAGAATGCAACAAAGATATGTAACGAGTAATTGAATAAATGACTGAGTGAATGAATAAGTAAATTACTGTGGGAGGGACTAATAAAGTAAGTGATTAACTGAAAGAATACAATATGTAATCAAACATCATATAGTTTGATATATCTAGGGACTACATATAGCTTGACTCATAGAATCTAGAAAGATAATCTACACTGGTCATAGAGGAGATACAGAAGGAGGGACCTCATGGGTGTAAATGCAATACCAGGAGGAGTGATAATAAAGGTACTGTGGATACAGTTGGAATTGAACTGTCTTGCAATTCTGAAATACTGCTTTTTTGCATATTCTGCAGAATATTCTGGGTAAAGATAATTAGAACTTTTATGATAGAATTTCTCTATGTACTTAGTTTATTAGTAGATTTTGTTATGCAGTAAAAAGAAACAGTCAGCCCGGCTGGTGTGGCTAAGTGGTTGAGCATCAGCCTGTGAAACTGGAGGTCATGGTTGATTTCCCGTCAGAGCACATGCCCAGGTTGCGGACTCAATCCCTAGTAGGGGGCATGCAGTAGGCAGCTGATTAATGATTCTCTTTCATCACTGATGTTTCTGTTTCTCTGTCCCTTTTCCTTCCTCTCTGAAATCAATAAAAATATATTTTAAAAAAGGAATAAATCACCCTTCATGAAAAAAAGAAATGATCAGTCTTCAAAATCTATTCATTCAAAATTAATTCAGCTTCCATGTGAAAGTGGTGAAGATTTAGAGCCTCGTAGAAATTTTAGAATTAATCTAATTAATCTCACAAATTGTTTTAATTTTTCTTTTTAATCTAGAGGTTAGATAGTATATATTTAATTTCAGCTGTTTCTGAATCATTAGGTTAAAAACCAAATTATTTTTTATAACTACTATTGTAATGCAAATAGTGAAATAAGCGATAATAACTCAGACTTTGTTTGACATAGGAAAAATGGAAGGCTATAGGAATAATTTGTAATAGACAAGCAAAAGCGCTGTAATGAATTGATAACCATATGAGTAAGCTCCTTTTGAGGGCTGGGAATTTTGTCTTTTTAACCACTATGTCCCCATTGCCTAGAATAGTGCCTACCACATGGTAGGCACTCAGTAAATACTGATTCAGTTGGATTAGTCATTGTAAAGCTGCTAATGTCTTTGAATAAAATAAATGGAAACACTTATTGTGGTTATGAAAACTTTGAAATGTAAAAAATTACAACTCTATGTCACATTAACTTTCTAAACAAAAATATAAACCATTTAGAAAAATAAAAAACACACATAATTCAATAAAAAGGATATAGTAGGGCAGAATTTAAAGCTAGAGAGATTGAAGCAAGAACTTTAGTGTGGTGAAGGCCTGGGGTGGGAGTGCGAGGTGGGAGCGGGTCAGTGGGGGGAAAAAGGGAACATCTGTAATACTTTCAACAATACAGATAAATTTAAAAAAAGAAAGAACTTTTATTTGTTTGGATTTATAGTAGGTAGGGATGATCTGTTATCTCCATAGAGTTGTTAAAAAAGGATTCAATGAAGTAATCAATTAAGAGCAATTAGCATTCAGTGGGTACTCAGTAAAAGGTAGCTACTGATTTGCACCTTCATCTACACTAATAAAAGAGAAACATGGTAATTAGCGTACAACCACTACCCTTCTCATTGGCTAATCAGCATATCCTTATGCAAATTAACTGTCAGGCAAGATGGCGGCCAGCAGCCAGGCAGCTGGAAGCGAACATGAGGCTTGCTTGCTCCAGTGACTGCAGACTCCAACGTTCCCCGCCTGACTTGCCGGCCTCTGAGCTGCAACTCTAAGAAACTTTGTAACAAATATAGAAGCTAAACAAAACCCCAGAAACCAGCTTTCAGCCAGCCGGGATCTCAGAGCTGGAGTTATACATTGTTTCGATTATAGAACGCAATCAGCAGCGGAAGCCTCAGAGCTAGAGCCAGAGCTAAAGCTGGCCCAGAATAAAAAAGAAAAAAAAAGAAAAAAAGGAGCGGTTGGGAGCTTCAGTCAACAACCGCCAGCCTGAAAGCAGCCCTCAGCCCCTCACCCAGACTGGCCAGGCACCCCAGTGGGGACCCCCACCCTGAAGGGTGTGTGACCAGCTGCAAACAGCCATCATCCCCTCTTCCAGGCTGGCCAGGCACCCCAGTGGGGACCCCCACCCTGATCCAGGACACCCTTCAGGGCAAACCAGCCTGCCCCCAGGCCTCTATCCTATATAGTAAAAGGGTAATATGCCTCCCAGCACCGGGATCAGCGGAGCCGCGAGGCCTCCGGCACCGGATCAGCGTGACAGGGGGCAGCGCCCAAACCCCCTGATCGCCCTGCAGCTCTGTGTGTGACAAGGTAGAGCCATAACCTCCCCATCGGCCCTGCCCTGAGTGTGACAGTGGCGGCGCCCCAACCCCCTGATCGGCCCTGCTCTGTGGGTGATAGAGGGCGGCGCCCCAACTCCCTGATCCGCCCTGCTCTGTGTGTGACAGGGGGGAGCTCCCCAACCCCCTGATGGGCCCTGCTCTGTGCATGACAGGGGGCAGCGCCCAACCCCTTGATGGGTCCTTGCTCTGTGCGTGACAGGGGGCAGCGCCCCAATCCCCTTGATTGGCCCTTGCTCTGTGCGTTGACAGGGGGTGGCGCGCAACTTCCCCAATCGAACCTTGCCTTGAGTGTGACAGGGGGGCGGTGCC